TATTTCTTGTGAATTTATACAATTTCTAGTTCAAGCTATGTGCTGATTATTTGTCACTCTTGAAATACAATCCTAAACCAAAACTAGAGTAATATATCGAATCACGAAATAAATGACAAGTAATTTAATATATTGTTACAAATAAGCACATCTTAGAAAACTGTTAATAATTTAAGTAGTAAGCATCTTAAAAACAGTAAATAATTTATTACGAAAAATATTACCTCAGCTAAAATTAAAATCCAGATTTCCCATATTCCATGCTGGCGTCTTCCCATATAATTAAAAGTCAAAAAATTTCAGACTCCTATCTTTTATACAAGAAATACAATACTAATCTAAAAATAAAAAAAATATATAAAAATAGTATATATTATATTTTTATAATAATTAAAAATTAATTAAAAAATAGAAGCCGTCAATATAATTGCAATACTTTTAAAGTTATTGTGATAAGAGCAAAACGCCAATTCACAGAATCTTGATTATTGAAATCGACCACCCGGTGTATCTTGCACGGTGACGTATACCGGTTATTAACTGCCGCCCGCGATAATGCATTCCCAACGAAGACAATGCGCGCCGCTCCGCTCCACTGGTCGTCGTTCTCTAGGCACTTTTATCATTATACCCGCGTTCGCGACATCTTGACGGCGCGTGATTACGTAAAAGACACTACCGGCGCTCATAATTATCGTAGTGTCCTCACTTGACTCGACCCGAGCAATTTTACCTTCCTACGACGAACCGATTCCGTTAAAATGCCGGAGACAGCTGTCCGTTGCAACGAAAGTGGGTTACGAATTTATTATCAAGCGCCCAAAAATCAGAGGACAATCTTGATGCGAATAGAAATCGTTTACTAAATATATAATTTAAAAAAGTTCCTTATCTTTTTGTATTTTCAAGTAAAAAACTTTTACTTGAAAATTCTCCGATTTTATTATTATAATTCAACATGTTATGTGTCTTAAATGTAATGAAAGTATATAATCAAATCCATTTTGTTACGTATGACAGTAAGAAATATGTAACTCACGAATGTATCAGATCACATTTAACGAGATTGGTGATTTGCAGAAGTTTCTTGCGTAATGCAGTCAAATGTCACAATAATTGAAAAAATAATATTTTCAGATATTGCTAGCGTAATTCTTGATATATTTTTTTGCAATTTGTTATTTAAAAACAATCGAGATAATATTACGTATTTTACATTGTTAAGAAAAAAATTTTATTTTTTACATTTCAAAAGATCTAAGAAGTTACGATATGTGCACGTAGTTCAGTGAGAACTCGATAGATTGTGCACGTTGTGTCGCGACGTGGTATTAAAGCCTATATTTACATCTAGGCTTCACAATCTCATAAGCAATATTACATATAATATAGCATTTCTAAATATTGATAAGAAAATATAATATAATTTATATATTAAATATACTGTTTGATACAACACAATTAATTTTGTAACAGTAAAAAAAATCAATTTTTATGTCGACATGAAGTAAATTTTTTTTTTAGACAAATCGGCTAGCACTTAGATAATTATTTATTATCCCGTCTAACTTCATTGTGTTAATAAATATCTTCTCGATATAATTTTATATTAGAAAAGTTTTATGTAGAGATATAAATATTTAATTATATACTAGCTACTAAAAACACTGTTCCACTGCTTTCACGAACCTTCATTCCGGTTTGAAAGGCTTCATATAGTACGTGACTTCGTAAGAAAGACTTCTTCAAAAGTTTTACCTTGTCGTAAATCGTAAACATATTCCGATACCTCTTACAATCAGTCGCAATGATTATGTTAATATGGAACTGAAGAACAGAAGAATTGCGAAAGACTTTGAAAAACTAGATCAGAGAGTTGATCGCCATTTAACAACAAATTCTCGATAACAAAAGTTGAATTTAATCTCGCGATGATTTAATTTCACCTCATATGTCTTGGACCAAAAATTCTTTATTATGTAAAAATAAATTTTGCTACGTAATACTATTAGGATTTAATATCGATTAATTGATTATTATTAATAATTAAGATATTATAGATATTTTCTATTTAAGTTTTCGAATCTTCGACAGAAAGTTTATACGATCGCCTTTAGTTCTAAGTTAAATGACCCAAGTCGAAGCTTCAACTTTCGCTATTAAGAATTTGTTGTTAAAAGGCAATCAGCAGCTTTCAAGTCTACTTTTTCAGTTGCTCGACTCTTCCTTTCTTTAGATCTTTACACTAACGTATCATTACCAGCAACTTGTTGATCGTGAGAGCAATCACTAATCAGAATCTATTTATGACTTACAGGATGTGTCTAAATAGACTTAAAAAAAATCATTTTTTACCGTATTTCAAGATAACATTTGAATATAAAAAAATGTATCATAATATTATTATATTTATAGTAATGACATATTTATATTTTAAACTCAAATCAAATGCTGTGAAAGCAGTGAAACTGAATTTTATTTTTAATTAAGAATAATCTATATCCATACAAAAAACTTTTTACTGTAAGATTATATTTGGAAGAAATATCTTTCTATTTATTAAAGCCATAAAAAATACAATTCTTATTTGTAAATTGATTTATAATTATATATATATATAAAACTCCTGCCATGTTCAAAAAACTATTAGTTAATTTAATATATAATATATATACACACGCATATATATAGCAATTTTATTCATCCTAAATGCTTGTATGTATAATCATAATATAAAAAAACTACATGATTGATTTAACTGCTACAAAATGAAACATATAAGAAGTGATATTGGATACAATATCTAAAAAAAATTGTACTTACAAATTACTAAAAATGTTGTGTAATCCGAAGAAGATCTTAAGAAAAAAAATACATAAATGATAAAAAAAAAGAATAAATACTTGCTGAAATTCCAGAATTTAACATATTTTAAAACAAGAAATTCTGGATCTTATTAATTTTTCGAAATGACTTGTGATGAAAAAGATCATTGATTACATAATATAATGTGCAGACAAAAATGCAAACGAATCACAGTAAATCTTGCAACGTAACGTTTTCCTCTGACGTATGAATCATCGCAATTTCTTATTCGAAGGATAGATTTTTGATTAGTCGATTCGCTAATCGAAGGAAGCTACGAAGGAGAGGACGAATAATTATAATATTCTCCGAACGCGATAATAGCCACAAGTCGACGTATCTAACTCGTTTGGAGAATATATAAATAGCACATAAAGTTGATTACACATCACTTATTTACATTTGTCACAAAATCTTTAGCAATTTTAAAAAGTTCCTCATACTTTTGCAATGATAATTACTTAAAAACTTTATTATGTATTTTTGTATTTTTATTAAAACAGGAGTTTCAAGTCAATTATGATATGTATATGCATATATATTATTATTGTATTATATAACAGGACTTTATTATAATATTATTCATTACTTCTAGAGCACTGAATAAATCTGATAGATAAATCGGCAAGAAAGTTCAGATGCACAAAGTAAAAGTACCCAGGCGAGCGTTCGCGGATAAAGGAAACGAGTTCTGCGATTCTTCCGCGAATCGAAGTGACATTTATACAAGTTACGATCGACTAATCGTACTGGTTAAACGGCGTCATGGAATTTATGGAATTAAAATTCGTTAATTTCGACTGTCATAACAAAACTTGTACCGACTCCAATCTGCTCCACGCGAAGTTGAAGCAATACGAGATCGAGCGTAATCTCGATATCACGTAATTTAAGCGACTTTTGCATCTTGTCACGCGGTCTCCTGGTTCCAGCTGAAAGAAAGTTGAAAAAGACACCGTTCGCATGACTGAGCTGCGAATGCACGCGATAACATGCGTTAGAAAAGACCACATAACGTGGCGAACACGAATGAGCGGCGATATCTCTTTAACACGTCGCTCCAATTCTCAGGGTAAGTCGTGTGGCTTCGCAAACTTAAGCTCGTGCGATATATCGTTAGTATTATAATAATTGCATACTTTCATCGTTAAATAAGCTTCTCTGAGAAAGTTAAACGTGTAAATAATCTTAAACAAAATAGATTTTAAAATTCTACACTTTTTTAAAATACATTTTTCAGAGTGAATATGATTAAGAGCATTTTATATAAGAAAAAAAGCATACGTTAATGATATTTTTACATAAATTCTTAATATGTAAAATACTATTAAAATACTGTTAATTTAAAAATTAAATTATTATACAAGGCAGATGAAAAACACTTTAATAAGGTGTTTCTTCACTCGCTTCTTATATATCTTTAAAAATTTAACAAAAAAACAAATGCCTTTTCTTTCAATTTATTGATACTTTGATTGCCATGTGTATCCAACTGGACATATTAATTTATGTTAATCTAATACATATTGCCTACTTATTATGTGATCTGTGAGCATATGTTATGCAATTTGCATTGATTTTTCATTTTTACATAACATATTATGAAATTTAGAGATGTATGACAATTTTGCCGAAAATTTTTATTTAAAAAAATATTCTATTTTGGAAAATGTATTTTAATATAAAACATTTATTAAAAATTACAGTATATAAAAAATAATAACTTGGTGCTAGAAAATTACAAAAATCTGTGAAGCAGTTAAAGTGCTAAATATAATCACGCGTATTAGAAACAATTTGATGAAATTGTTCTATTGTTAACAAAAAATAAAAGCCATAATATTCCTTGGACATGTTTTCTTCATTCTCTTTCTGCAGTATTCCGGAGATAATAGCAACGTGGCGAATTAGATTTGAACCGCGGGAGGATTACAAATTACCACAGGTCTAATTTCGAGGTTTAAGCGACCGCGATTAAGCGTTAAACGCGCGCGCCGCGCGCGCAGAATGCGGGCCGCCGTGGTCCCACAAAGCGGGACCCAATCCGGCGGCGTGCGATTATCGTGATAGACGCGCATTCTCTCGCAAAAGCAACCAGACTCCCCACTATGAGGAAGCCATAGGTCGTACACATCGTGCACAGGTGGACGAGGACGAGCGACGACGACGGCGACGACGAGACGTGCGTGTCTCAGTCGTGAACGAGCGAGCGAGCGAGTGGTGCGAGTGCGCGCGTGTGAAATTCCGCGCGGCGCGCGATAAAAGGACGAAATAAGAGGTAGACGTGACGTTGGAAGATAACAAGGATACGCGAAACGTGAGGAATGTGATGCATGAAGCAACGTGAGAAGGGAACGGCGAGACGTATTTAACGGATGCGTGACAGGAGATCTTTAACCTCGGATGATTATACGATCGTTCGACTTTGCTCACGGATCGGTGTAAACATCGGTGACGGATTGATGAAAGCGCTGGCACGAGCCCTAGGAAATAAGTGAATTGACAGAGCCTGACAGGAGTCTATATTGTGAAATTGAATTTCTAATCTGAGGAAAGGGGGAAAGCACTTTGGCATCCTTTCCTTATAACTTCTTCGTAGAAAAAGAAAGAGAAAAATAGAGAGAAAGAGAAAAAGAAACAAACCTATATATTTAAAGTTTCAAATTAAATTTCAATGTGTTCTTATCTGTCAATTGCAGAAATAATAAGAATTGTGAAAAGTTGAAATTATTCAACTTTTTTTTACATTAATTCAAAAATCTAATTTAATTAAAATATTTATGTACATATAGTTTTAATTGGTTTAATTTTATCTAGAGAAATAATAAAAATATTTACAAATTTATCCTTGAAGGTCTCATTAAATAAACAATTTTACAGAATGGATTCCTGTTATTTCATATTTGTGTGCTATCTTATTTTTTTAAGATAAAAATAGAAAAATAGAAAAGTTGCACAATGTGTTAATACTTAGCGATCAGACAATTGTATCGCATTGCGCAAAAACAAGGCAGATAAAATTGATTTATTAATCTTTTTAGCGATTCGTGATCGATCGAAAAACATGCTCGTACCTCGCGCGACGAGCTTTCTCGTTATACTAAAATATCAAGGCCGATGCTAATTACGGTGGCGCGATAAGAGGTGATACCGGCCGAGGAAGTGAGACAACGTAAATCTTCTCATATTCGAGAAATCGATTTAAAGGCCTTGGAGTTTATTAGACATTCACCGACACTTTTGATCTTGCATGCAATTATTTTAATAAATGGACTTGGTTTTTGCATCACAAGTTCAAAAAAATTCTGTACATCAAAATCAAGTTAAAATAAGAGTGTACACGAGTTATTCCATTTATATATACAAGCCGTTTTTACTCGCGATTATTTTCTTCGACTAATCGAGTCTTGTATTTAATAATTAAAGCAAATAAATTTATAATATCTGCTTTAAAAAGTTTGATTATTCTTAAGAGGCAAAATTGTATTTCTTCGATTTCTGTCTCTTAATATAGAATCTATAGTATTTGAAAAATTCTGTTTATTCTTTCAAAAATCCGTGCAAAACACATCACTAATTGAGCGATAAATCGCATTATTCAGCACGAATTAATGTTTTTTTACTTTAGTTATTATTTATACATTTTCTTTTAATCATTTGTCATGATCGCGTCAGCATTTTCTATTCTTTTATTGCCGAAAAAACATTATCGAAGTAATTCCTTACATCTGATTCTTTCTTTCACCAATTTTGGTTGCAATTACTACAAAAAGGATTTTTTATCCATTTGATATCAATTAATTTAATCATCAATTTAATACATCTTCAAGTAAAATAGTTTGGTCTTGTTTTTTATATCGTACATAAATAACAAATCTAGTGAATAAATTTCTAATAATAATAATAAGTGCTATCATATAGAAAGAAAGAATTCTTGCGTATCAAAAAAAGATAGATAAATAATTTATTGACATTCTAGAGCAAGCCTTCTAAGAATATAGAACACATAGCTAATAAAGCAGAAAAGAAGAGGATAGTCTTATTGAGCTCTCTCGTAATCGTCACGCGTCTTTTATCAACTACATGACACAACTGAACAAACGAGATATACCTTTAAGTCGAGAAATCATGACAACCTTCGATCAAGCGTATTTAACGTGGTCCATCGAAATATAATTTTTATGCAAACTACGTAAAAATGTCAAAATGCCAGAAGTAGTCAATTTATATTCCGCTCGTGATAAACATTCTTGAAAGATGTGACAATGTTCCACCCATCAATTCGTGATCTATGTACACCTATATTGCAAAATATTTCATAAATGCCTATTATTTTTTTGATCACTTAGAGCATTTATTTCAAGAGCTGAAATCTCTGAAATATTTAATGTTGGAAATAAAAACACGTTATGTCGTATTCTATGTGAAATTTTTTACCTCTTTGTCGAGAAATCCAAGATTAATAGTTAACAGAAACTAGACATGCGATAAACGCGCAGTAGATAAATATCCACTTTCTAAGTAATTGCAATATTCTTTTATCGAGTACTTATAAAACTCACGTGTTTTATTTCGAATATCACATAAAGGTACAAGTATCTGATTGATATTGGTCGTGAAATAAACCGAGCAATCTAAAAAAAATCGGAATAAAGTTATTATATAATACTGTCGTGCTAGGTGCGTCTTCTTAATATATGAAATAAAGTCATGCACGTGGGGAATATCAGAAATGTAATATGCTCGATCATGATGTTTGTCATATTTCAACCGCGTCACCTTTACAAAAAGCAGAAACGTACTCAAAAGGAATCATCAAGTTCTAATGTTGACATCGTCAAGCTTCATTACTTCAACATTTGCTATGCAAATGAGAACTTAAAAACTGTACGTTGGAAAAAAAAAACGGAAAAAAACTGTCATTATGTGCATATAAGAATAATCGCGAAAGTTGTGTGCGTGCTATGTAAAAATAGAGCAATCACGATTAACCTTTCGATGGTAATTTTACAATCGTTTCGATTGTCTTCGACGGAATGAATACGTGTTATTGAAATACGGAATTAATTATTATAATATAGATACACGATGACTTCCAAATATGCGAAAGATATTTTACAGCTTTCAAAATATGATGGTATTTTTTAAACTAGTCATAAAAATAAAAAAAGATTGCAAAAATTAATTTCAACTATAGAAATAAATAAATAAATGTTAAAATTAATTTTCTTTACTAAGTTCTCGATAATTTCTTAATACAAAATCTATTTTAAAACCTTAAAATAAATGTTAAAATTTTCTCCACTAAGACAGAAATATTATATTAAATTTTATTATAAATATTTGTTTGAAATTGAATATTACTAAATGTAAATACATTTATTTAGTATAATTATTATTTTTTATTTAGTAAGCATTTAATTTCTATAAATAAATGTTTAATTAGTACTATTAAAACAATTATTTATTAACATTTGGTATACTTTTCTCTCAGTGCATGTATAGGTAACTTCCAAATAAATGCGAAATTTATTTTACGACCTCATCTTAAAATACGATATTTTTTAAACTAGCCATAAAACTAAAAAAAATATATATCTTAATTACAGAGATAATAAATGATAAATTTCCTCTGTAGACTGATGTCGCATGGAATTGTGGAGTATTCCTTTAGAATTTAAACTATTTTCATTACGAGTCCTCAGGGGGAACATCGTCATATTTTTCGAGAGATTAAGGCAAAGCAATTTACATTCTTCGAAATAATTCTATATAAATTGCGAGTGACTCAGTAAAAGATGAGTCTAGTTATTCTTATCAAAGATATCATACTCGCGAAGTGATGTCTAACGTAAACGTCAACTTCGTTGATAAACGTATATATGCCTACGTGCTAGGTGAGTCTGACTCAGTTTTAAAATTTAGCAAGAAATTGCCGAGATCAAAAAAGAATTAGAAAAGAATAGGAGGGACAGAGAAACCGCATTAGTTGATGATACAATGTGAAAGGTGCAGTTATTGCAACTGCAGTCGGCTGAAGAGATGTTGACGTTGATCGGTGGGCTCATCGTTGCTTATTTCGTCTACATTCTGATCTTAAGGAAAAATGGTAAATATCTATGCTAAATCTAATGTTTGTTTTTTTCAAATATATACTCTGCATATATTCTATTAAATTCTACAAATTTCTACAACTTTTTTATTGCATATGTTTTAACCAATTTATCTACTATTTTGTGTTTTATGAATATTGTTTAAAAACAAAGAAAAAATTAATATATATAAAATTAAAAATGTTATAAATATGATTGAAATAGAACTAAATGAAATCAACTATACTTTTTGTCATCAGTATAAAACATAATTAATTCCACTGAAGCATTCAACATTAAAAATAATTACTCATATCACATTTGTACATATTTGATCAATATATGCTGTTGTAGTATATTGTTTTATCAATGTTGCAACAAAAATGCGTCGTATTAGTGTACTATAATCTTTCCACCCAGTTCCGATTTCTTATCTTCTTATCTTTAAGCAATTGTACGTAGAAAAACGATTAATAGCAATGTGGTTATCTGGTTGCAATATAAAGAAACCATTAACCTGACATGTGACATTATCGCATGTAGTATATCAATTATATTATTACTTTTAGAGTAAAAAATTAAATATATGTACATATATATTATAAAATAATACTTGTATTAATAAGGAAATACATTACTTCTCTTCTCTATAAATTTTCGTAAATAGAAAAACATCTTGCACTTACATTAGTACTCTACACATTCAATTATCAATATCTTAATTTTCCACAATAAATAGCAAATAATGGAAATTGTAGGAGAAAGAGATATTTAATATTTATTATTATTATTATTATTATTCCACACTTTTCACTTCCCCACATATACATATGTGTACATATTCTATTTAATAGCATATTCCACTTTCTTGTTCTAAACTGTGTGTTATTCCCACTGATACACCTCCAAACGTATAAATTTGTTTAGTAGTCTCAAATTTTCGCATGAAAACGTGGCATCACGCGTCGTTTACGCGACTTGCAATTCTTTCGCGAGATATCGCCGTTCTCTCCGTAGAGAACTGGTCCAGTAACCTCATCTTGAAATCGTCAAGTGCGATCGACCATTTATAACATAGCAATCGACAGAAGACGAAAAAGAGGAAATGCCTTGGCGCAACGGTTTTACCACTTCCATTATCCGGATTTTTACACGGAAGATCCTCGCGCGCGCGCGCGCTGTATTAAGGTGTCGCATTGAATGAACTTTGAATTTCTACGACAAGGTTTCCCACATAAAGCACACTCGTTACCGTGTTAGAAGCAGTTCAACTACCGAATTATTCGCATATAAATGGGAAAATCTCTATTTGTAAACCAAATTTTTGTTGTTCAGCGCATTATTTTAATAGGATAATACAGTAATTGACGCTGCGTCGTGAGAAAGCAGTCCTTAATTTTATTAAATTCAAAGCTCGTAAAAACAAAACGATAAACTTCGCTATTTTACGATTATTCCCAGTCAAAGTTAAATCTATTATAATATAATGCGAGGAAAGTTGCATAGAGAAAATTAGTCGACAGCAAGCCGACAAAATAATAGTGCGTCGAACAGAGAATTTACGCAGATCCTCAAGCTACACTTCTACGTTAATAATTTTGATTTATTATGCGTCAGTGATCTTGAAGGTTACATTGACATCTTTTTTCCATATAAATTGTACGTTAAATTACAATCACGTGAACGGATCGAGTCTTGTTTTCTTCCATCCAGTCGAATTACAATAAGAAGACTCGATTATCACGGATTAATTACGTGCAATTATTATTCCTGTACGTCACGTCGCGCCGTTCCATATAATCGTATGAGGAAAGCAAAAGATCGATGGAAGGCCGGTGACGCTGTTACTGACTTATCGCCATTAATAGACGTCGAGAGAAAAGGCGATTTAACTTGCTGAAGAAACTTCTACATGCCGGCTAATAATATGACTAATGTTTAAGGCGGTCGGATCGCGCGCAAAATACCTGCAGTCGGCCTTCACCTTCTACTGCGTGAGATCAAGGCTGGATGTGTCCTCGACAAGGTAGATCCTCGATTATGTGTATGCAAGAAGTGACTGTGTGAAACATGAGCATTATACCAAGAGAAAGAAAAGGAAAGAGAGAGAAAAGGAGGTAGAAAAAAAGAAGAGACGTCCGCGCACGCGATGTGTTTATTTGCAAACAATCTAGTGTTGCTTGAGGATTATTAACCATGTATACAAGATCTCGCGAGCAATATTATCTTTCCAATAAAATATTTTTAACATTATATTTTACTACTGAATTTTTATAGATAAATGATTATAATTGAATATCTCATAGAAATTAGAAAACTTTTCATTCGAAAGCTGAAAAATCGCTATTTTTACATTTTATCGATGATGATTAATGGAAATTTCCTATGCATTTAATTAAAAATTTGTTCATAAATTTAGCATTTTCTTAAAAATCATGGATAGTTACTCAAAAATTTTAACAATTATTTTTAACACTCAAAATAATAGAAACAACTCTCTAAATTTTTTGGAATAAAGTTTCATTCTGAAAGAGTTAAAATACTGTCATTACTGAAAGACTAAACAAAATTTACACTTTTGAGTAAGAGTGAAAAATTTGCATTTTTGAATAAGAGTAGCAGATTTTCACTCTTTTGAAGTGAGTTTTCATATTTTTAGAATGACATTTGTTCCAAAAAAAGAAGTGAGATTTTTTCCTTTGGAATGAATCTTATTCGAGAAAAAAAGAGTATAAATTTGCCACTTTTATTCAAAAGTGTAAATTTTTCACTCTTTTTCAATAGTATATGTTAACTCCTTTGGAGTGAGGTTGCACAAATTTAAAAAGAAAAATAAAACTTTCTTCTGAACCGATTTTTTTAGTTACGAATGAAACATTTATAAGTTTTCATAAGATAAAATCTTTTTGGAATATATGGCATTAAACAAAACATTTCTAAATCCAAATTTTCAAAATTTAGGAAGTCATCTTCTAAATATTCTGCTTTTAAGGATCAACTACTAAATTATAAAAATTTACCCAACATTTTTATTCAAATTGATTAATATAATATGAAAAATATGCAGAATCTAAAATTTTGAATTCTATAAAGACATATATGCTCAAATAATTTAGAACCTACAGAATAGAGACTGTCATTGGCGTCCAGAATCTCGAGTGAAAATGCAGACGAAGTAAAAATTACGGACCTCGAGTTTCCCGCGGAAAGAGTTCAGGAGGTCGGTAAATTTCACCTGACGGCCGCGATCCGCGTCGGACAAGAAACGTAAAAGAAGAAGAGAGAGAAAGAGAAGAAGCGGAGAGACGGGATGAAGTCGCAAGAGTTGTCGACGAGAGGAGTGGCCGTAAGGATGCATCATCGGCAGCAAGGTCGCGTCGGAGAAATTACCGCGAAGAAGTGGCCAGTATTCACAAGTGCCGGCTGTATCGCCGTTATCTCTTGCCGTGACTCGATCATGCCAAAGAAAGTGCGGTGCGACTTGCGTTTATACTATACCTCGTTTTACTATAACCGTTCACAAGGTGCGCTGGATCGATCACGATAGAGTGTCCGACAGTCACTCCGCGGAAACCATGATCGATCCATGGAATTGCCAATCCAACGCGTATCAATAACACACCAGTGAGAGAACACGATATAAAATAGTTATAAAAAAAAGATTACAAAAATCGCAATTTTTTAATCAGATGAGAATTTTGTGTTCTCGAATAGAAGTGGTCTTACATTCTTACAAATATCTTGTATCAACAATGTGAATATACGTATATGTATATATAGTTTATAAGGATAAAACATATTGAGGAAAACATGATCTATATTGTTTCATGGCTGAAGCCTTCGATTAATCCATCGAAATCGGTACGCGTTTAAGCGTCTAATAATTAAAAATCTCTTATTAATTTTTCATTAATGTAAATAAACTTTAATCTTGATTTATTTTTCATTTTTTTTTTTTAGTTCCAGGAATTAGAAAAATATGAATAAGTCATAATTATAAGTTGAACCAAGATTAAAGTTAATCTACACTAGTAAAAATGGACATTAACATTTTAGTTTATTATAATTAGAGAGAAGTTGATGAACGTAAAGATAGCAATGTTAAATATAATATTTGAATTTAACGGTACAACTGGCGACTCATAGAATTACTTCTATGCCACACTCATAGTAATTGCAGATGCTATGACCAGCAGAATACATTCTCATCATCGATCACCGCAATGGCAATGTCGATCTCGACAATTTTCCAACTTGATGTTTCAGACAAACCGTCTACAGATCCGCCAGCTATGGCGCACGCGGCGCTCAGAGAGATCGTCGAGCGAGCTGTCGACGAAGCTCGGAAGTTGCCAGGATTAAATGCATCCGTGGACTCCGAGCAACCTCAAGAAGAACACCCTGTTACGGATGATAGTTATGAGGATCTCCTTGCTACCGCGATACTTAATAAGGTTGCTAGAATCTAAGAAAGATTTCCTTAATTAATTATGAACAAATGATATATTTTCAAAGCATTTTGAATTAAGAAAAACGAAATTTAAAAAATATTATATTAAATTATATTTAAAATAAAAAATAATACTAATTAATATCAGTGCATCATGCTCAAATCGACTATGAGAAATTAAGATGTGTGCGCTATATATTTCTTACGTAATTTGTCACTAATTAAAAACTTACATTCACCAATGAAGCACTGTGTGCTTAAATTAGACAAATCTTTAATTAAATTGAATTTATTATGCGCATTTTAGGTCATCGAAAAATATCAAAGGGAACGGGTTGATGGCAACAGCAACGTTCTACACGACACAAATTCGCCTAAAGCAAAATATACCGCAAGTGTGTACAATTTACTTAACGTATTATCGCGTATGAAGTATGAAGAAGTCATATTTACGAAGATGATGCTCCTTTTTCAGACGAGAGCAAGCATGGCCTTGAGGAAGATGTGGCGAGTTACGCATCCGACCATCTCGAATGCAACGGTGATCATTGTGCGTCGATCAGGCAGAATGAAGATCATCATAAACCAGTGTCCTTTACGGTACTTATGGATGCTGATTACAATCGCATTTACATATTCTCGCATATCGCAGTATATGCAACCAAGTGCAATGAAAGAGATGAACATGAAATTTACATATCAAATTTAAATTTTTCAAAGCAGCATAATCCATATAATAAAACATAATTGGTATATCGTATACTCTCTAAGGGAAGGAACTGAATCCTGTTACAGATGGAAGAAAGAATCGAGGAAGTAACTACGATCACGTCAGACAATGATGAACTTCGAGACAACGGCGCTTTGGAATTCGGTTGCAGCAGACGCGTACCGTTTCCAGAATATGGGATGGATATCATTGACCGTGAGTATTTCGACTTTCACTTTGAATATCATTTACATATGTATTTAAAAAGTACGCAGAATCGTTTATAAGTAAAATATAATATCTTGTTGGATCGTGCAATAATATATTTCAAGATTAATTAACTAAAATCTCGTTTGACTCCTATAATAATCGTTCTTTAATTTAAAAATATATTTTAATATATTGAGACAATTATTTATATATATATATATATATATATATATATATAATTCTTCTCCAACATATTCTACTCTTTTAAAATAATAAAAAATAAAATGATATTTTCTGCGATTATTTCCAACGTAAGTAAGCTACAACTTTACACGTTACATAATTAATTATCTAAATCTCTTATAATAGCTCCGCGAGAATTACCCTCGCCGTCGCCGTCATCATCGTCGGATTCTTCAGATTTAAATCGCAACGAATATCCGCCGGTCAGGACGAAACGTCACGCTGCTGGTCATATAATGGATATAGTCTCGCCAATCGAGTCTTGGGAGGACAATTGGCTATTCCAGAAAAAGAGGAACTCCCGATCACAGCCAGACGCGGTTGCTATGTTAGTACCGAGCTCTAACGCATATTATAAGGCTCTAATCGGCGATCGGGATGCTGAGGACACGTCTGATTTATCCGAATGCTCATCTACGAAATCTGACGAAGAAATCGAAAAGGAACTGATGGAGGCGATCAACAACGTGATTCCGAGAACTCCCAGGATCTCTGAAAGCGACGTGACAAATAATCAGATAGAAAATCGTCAGGAAGGAATAAGCAAGACGCAATTCGAAAAAGACAAAGTCGATACTTGTCAAGCGATAAAAAAAACTGAGAAGAACGCAACTGTTTGCGAGAATTACAATGGAAAATATTACGAGGAACACTTGAACGCCTTGGAAAAGAATACAGCCAAACGTGAAGATGATAAAGAAAATCGAAATGAAAGTCCACTGATAATAGTAGTAGAAGAAGATGACGGAGCCAAAGAGAAGCCTAAGGATACAGCCAAATGCGGTGAAAAGACAACCGCGATCGCGGTGGAAAGTTTTGTGCAAAAGGAAGTAAAGATGAAATCTGAGAAATCGAGTGAGAGGAGCGATCGAGGGGAAAACGTCACGGACGAAAACGAAGAGCAACGAGAGAGCGAATATACCGAACATTACGACACCGCGATCCAGAGACATTTAGATAGTTTAACGAAGATTGAAGCTTGTTCTGGAGAGAGCGAGACGACTGATGGAACGAGAAAAACGGATGAACAGCTTAGAAAATCAGAGACCAATTCGATCGAACTACCAAAAAGGTAGGGAGAGGGGGTCTCGAAATATCTTTTCTTCTAATAAATAAAGTAAAAGAATAGAATTAAAGTTTATATTTTAAATTTATTTTAAATTAAATTTATTTTAACTCTGAAAATTACTAGATTCATACAAAAATATCGTTAGATGTAAACAACATCCACTTTAAATATAGACTTCTTTGAATATGGATTTCTCCGTCAATTTTCACTTACTATTGTTAAATTTGTATATATACCTATTATGTGTATGTGTATAAAAAGTATTTAAACTTATATTTTTATCTCTGATTTCTATTCTTTAAATGTAATTAACAATTGTCTTTTTTGAATTTTTGTATGTTTGCAAGAATAAATAATAAATACAGCCTTGGTCAAATATATCAGGTACTTATATTTTCTTAATTTATTTAAAATTTGTTTACCTATATTGTTACCTATTGGTTACCGGCATTATATACATAAATTTAAAGAGTTCTTAAAACAAAGGATAATTTACAATAAATACCATAAATCAACTTTTTTAGCTAAGATTTTAAATAATGATTAATAAGGTGCCTAATATTTTTGGCCAAGATTATATGAATGAAACGAAGCTCCACTCAGGTTTCGAACGCGCGTAGTAAGCAATAATGACAGTTCCGAACGCAACTCATAAGTAGACCTACCCAAGTGTTACACTCCGATGATGTGTGAATTATAAGTTCTTAGTATGTTGTTCTCTAGATGAAAATAAGTGACACGTATTTTTTTATACGACCCATACGCACTTTTAAGGGATAAAAAACACCCATTTAAAAAAAATCAATTTTTCTCTTTCGAAGCGAATATCTTCGAAATTTTTTTATTATAGTTATAAAGTACTCTTGAAACCATTCAATTTTCATTCTAGAAATTTTTTTCTACCTCTTATAGTTTCGATGATATTCGTTTCGAAAGAGAAAAACCGTTTTTTTTAAACGGGTAGGTATTTCTCATCTGTATAAAAAAATTCGTGTCGCTTATTTTTATCTGTAGTACAACATATTAAGAATTCATCAAAATCGGAGTATAATACTTGGATAGTGATAGGAATAGGTTTAGTTGTCGGTATTGAGAGAGAGAGAGAGAGAGAGAGAGAGAAAAGTTGCATATTCTATAAAAAATTTCTTTCGTAGTTTCGCGGCAGCACTCTTTTCGTATGTCTCTTTCATAATTCTTTTTCGATTTTGTGCAGTAAACGTTCAGAAGTCGAAGTCCAATTGTCTTACGCAATAATCGACAAGAATCACGTCGACATGACAAGTGAAAATGATCCATTAAGCACCCCTCCACGACCAGGTAATTTTATTATTTATGATGAACCTATACGTGCGATACGCAATATTATCTTTCTTATACATATTTTTGTATTTACAAAAAAGGACAAATGGAAATTTTATTTTGACATTTTGATATATAAAATAATTTATTAATATTAAATATAACTTTTATATAAAGAAATAATAAACACATATACCTGAAGGAATCATTACTTAACATATAATCGAATACGCGAGGTTCCGAGAAAAAATGTTTATGACTTTAAAGAATTACGTTAAAATGGAGGATAAGGGTGGGGTTTTAATTGCATGTCTTTAAAATATAAAAAACAAAATCTTAATGAACGCCCTTTTAAAAAATTTCCAAAGCAAAAAACTAAGTGAAAAACACTATAATGAAATACTCATGCATCATAAGGCCTGTTCTTTTTGCCTGCACTGTCCTGAACTGGTACATACAGTGCAATAAGTTGAAATGAAACAAACGTATATCTGTTTCACTTCAACTTATTGCACTCTGTGCACCAGTTCAGTAAAAAGAACAGGCCTATTATGAGCGCATTGCGCATATGACGATGAATAAATGTATCGGACAGGCACAATAGCGGAACGCGAGCACAAAAAATGGGAAAACGCTGCACCAATTGAAAACAATCCCTACAGCGAGGAGAGCATACGAAAGCGATGTTTAGAAAGGCAATATTCGAAAAATTCGGATATTCCAGGGTAAGAGAAATCGCGTAAAAAATTTTGCGAATATCACTGTAGTCGCGAAATTCTCAACTCGATTTTTCACTTTGTTCAGAGCCCATTACGAGTTAACAAAGCTGAACGAAGTGAGTCTGGAGACACTAACACCTGGTAGACCGGACATCAAACGGTAACTTTTATTAATTTTTCCAAAAGCTGTAATTAAATAAGAAATATTTAAAATTATAACACTAATTAAAAAATTAAGCGAATTATTTCTGTTACTAACGTTTTTGCATTAAAGATTTTGTTAAAGTTTTAAAGTATCAATTTACTATGAAAAACAGAAATGAAAAAAGGATTACAAGAGTGTGTCATATGGAGAGAAATGAGTTTATTATTAGAACAAAAAAATGATTTGTTATGTGATGATTTAGTGGAAAAATAGATTGATTAGTTACTGTTGAATCATTTTTCATTATCAATGTAACAAACATTACACGGTTTACGATATAAATTACATTTGTTTTAGTAATTTAGTGTAGATATAAAATATATTGTTAGTATAACTTATAATGTCAATAACAATAAATATAACAATTAGCATCAGTCTCCATTGTAGAAGAATTATTTTTTGAACAACAAATCAAAAATAAGACATATTCATTTCGCCATACCGATTTGTTGTCACTATATTAAATCAAGTTTGTTATAGGTACTGATGGTTTATTAAGTTAACAAAATTTTTTCTCTCCGAGCGATCATTTTCCATTATACAGTTTCGTGACACTAATAATCCGATTTTTCTGTATAGATTCGGCAGGGATTACTACATCAACCAATCGAAGGCAGCCAATGGAGAACGACAGGAACGGACCAGATCGACGATGTCCTCGATGTCGAGCAGACCGAGCAGCTCGCTGTCACAGCAATCGAGCTGCGATGAACAACATGAACGACAGGTGAGTCATGACGAGCTCGAGCAATTTGAAGCCGCTTCGCTGCGCGGCAGTCTTCCTAGACGATGCTGCCGCGATCCCCTCGCCAGTCCGCACTTCGCGATCAACCCTCTCTTGCATCTGGAGTCTGCGAGCGATCAATTGCATCATGATGACGGTGAGCGAGCCGAGAATCTCCTAGAAAACGATGTTCGAATGATATGTCCCGAAGAAAGAGAAAACACGAAAGAAGAAGCGAAAGATGATCGAGAATCTAAGAATTCCGTGGAATCGAATGTAGGAGCTATTTTTGAAGGGGAAGAGAATAATTACGTCCTGGCGGAGAACCTGAAAGTTGACTCTCCGAAATCAATACCGATAAACTGCAGGAATCGATCTTGGAACAATCACGAAGGTGAAGAGCCGATAGTACCACAATACGACAATCGCGCAGGATCGCCGGGCGATCGAGGTGATCACGATCTAGGCGATCACGACTCTGGAATGTGTTCGATTGGCTCTCGCGACTCGGAGAGCAGCGAACGCGATCGCTGGCGACAGTTGTTTCGGAATAATGATCCCGATGGTAATAGGCAGATATCTTCGATTGGCGGCAGGAGATTTTGGACCACCGGCGGATACAAGTACCACACTTTCGGTGGTATCAGGATTCGACCAAGGAAAGCGGAAAATCTTGACGACGATCTTGAAGATGAATCAATCTCGCCGGAGGATCCGTTCGAAGATCGTAGTCCAGAATTCGCGAGATTAAAGTTTCAAACCTTTGGCGGGATTAAGAGAAACAAGAAGATCGACAGTAGAAAAATTCCGAATTACAGGAGAATCCGATTGAGACCGATCTTGTCGGAAGCTGCGTCTGTCGTTCCCGATCGCGATCTTGTCGAAACGAAAAAATCGGTGAATCTCAAATTGTATTCCAATGTCGATTCAGGAAATTGCGATCAACCGATAAATTTGAATCGTTCTACAAGTTTAGAAGGATTCGCTAGTTTCGAGCATTCGACGAGCTCGACTTTCGAGGAGAGCGACTGGCAGGATGAGAAAACTGACGTCACGAATGATCGGAAATCCACAGGATACCCGCAAATTGGACGCAGTAAAAATCGAACAAGTACTTTCAGAACTAACTCCATGACGAAACGCAAAAATCTGATTCGTAAGAAAAACATAAATTCATCTTCCCTCTGGTCCTCACCGAATGAAGACGATGAGTGGCAAGATGAGATCGATTGTACTTCCGACGAAATTATAATGAACAAGTTCCTAAAAGATGTCTCGAGGAGGCGGAAAGCGTGCGTGTTCAACGATGACAACATTGTGGCGCGAGGAAGAGAAAGATCTGAAAGGCGTCGAGAAGTTCTTGAAGACAATAACAGCGAAAAGTTAGAGAAATCAATAATCAGAAATACTGAAAGAGATCTGAAAAATTCAAAGGAATCTCAACAAGAAGAGAATGATGATAATAAAGCACGGCGTAAGAAGTTGTATGTGAGAAGTTTGAGCGACATCACGATATGGTGATAATAAGAAGAAAGGCTGATTTGAAAATGAAATAAAGATCAATAAAACAACAAGAAATAAAGATAGATATGAAAAAAATGTACACGATGTTAATAATCGTGAAATGATTGCCATAAAGAAGTATTGCGAGAAATATAGAGTTATACGCTTCAACAGAAATAGATCCTAGAATGTCTTTGCCATATTATATCTCAAAACGAATTTTTATTTTATTTCTATAAAATTCTTCTTATCGATTGATAAGAAAAGGTGGGAGATAATACGCTTTAAAATAAATGCGGTTATTATGGGATATCCGTTGTTTATTCAATCAAATGAAGAAATTATAAGATTCTATTTTGAAACGATATGAATCTTAGAAATTCAAAATACGACCTACCATGCGATAATTGGTGGATCCAGCTAACGATTGTAAAAATTTATTAAGAATAATTTATTAATTGTTATAATATTATATATTATATTTGGTTGATGTATATTTTGTTCGGTGTTATAATGTACCTGATAGAATGCGAATGCATTCGTGCCAATATCATAACTCCGTGGCCATATTTTTTGAGATAAGAGTATTATGGCGCAATGTGCTAATATTAGATATTATGTTATATACAGGATTAACGATTGAAAGTGCATATTTATAATAGTTACAAGGCAAATAAATACGGGTGTATAAAAATCTGAGATTTCATCATGATAATGCCGACCTTCCACTCCTAAACAGATTTTTTAATTAGAAGTATTTTAATAATTTTTTTATCATTATGTTTGTAGATAGTTTTTAATTTAAAACCTTAAACTAATTCCTAATTATTAATGCAAAACTAATGTAAATTCTTAATAATTAACTTAATGATAACAATACATTACTCGTTCAGACAAAAAATGTTACACAAAATAATATCATTAGAAGATATTTAAAAAATATATACAATATATGTATATATAATTATCTATTTAATTAAATATAACTTATGAAAAATTTATCAAGAAAAAAAAAATGTATATATACTATATTTCCAGATAGTTTTTTCATGAAAATTAAATTTAATAAATAGGTATAAAATTATTGAAATCCTCTAGAAAAGAAGACTTTTATTTAACACAGAGACAATTTTGTATTGTATATATCTTATATTGAAATGAAAATCTCAACTATTTAATTAATTTAATTGAGCAGTCAAAAAACTGGTATCCTTCGCATGAAACATACAGGTGATGGTTCCTACTTGATATTATAATAATAACATATATGAACATTAAAATAGAATCGCATACAATTTGCGCAGCAATTCGCAAATTGTGTGCGATTCTATTTAAAATTTTTTTAGTTAATATTAAAGAATATTTAAATTACACATTATTATACAATATTATTTAACTATACATTATTTATAGTATATTATTAATATATTATAATATCTTTTAATTTTCTTATCGCTTTCTCTCGCATATATATTTAAAAATATAAGATTTAAATTAGATTTCCATTTTTTATAAGAAATGATAATTATCATCACGCGAATGAATTATTTTAAAGAATTGTGTTACAGTAAAACTTGCCAACTTCATTACTTTAGAAATTGTAACGTAAATGATAATTATGTATCACAATATTAATACCATAATTCGATATTATATCAAACAAATAGATTATTATACAAAATTTGTATCTTCATTCTTCTGCATCATATAGTTTTTATGCAGTTGAAGACACATGTTAAAAAATGTTTTAAAAATATAAGAAAAATAAGAAAAAAATCGAGTTCGTTTGCACGTATTAACTATGATATACAAATTTCATTTCTGTAACATTTTTAAAGTGAAGATATGAATCCAAGGTACATCTTCAATCAACAATCTGAGTCATTTACTACTCGAAATGCACGCATCACGCTTGCACAAATTGCACATAGAATGCGATCTAATTTGCATCTACAAATTCTCGATGTATCTCGAAAAGATACTACTCGGTTCGCGTTAACACAATGGAATCAATTTCGCAATTACGAACTACGAAAGAGAATATTTTAATCGGTAAGTACCACCTATCTACAGTGTATGTATGATGACTAACAAATAATCGTATTTATATGTATATATGCTCGAAATGTAAATTCTAATATTTCTCGCAATTTTTTGTTGCTTTATCCCACTAACTCCAATAAAATCATACAGCAATTAATATTACTCATATTGTTTGTAAAACTTTATGTATTTAATAATTTTTTAAATCTTGATATACTAATATTAGAAGTTTTATTAGATCTCTCTTCTCTAACATGTTTTATAGATTATTTTTTAGTTCCACCATCTCATCAAGAATAATCCTTCACTGCAATATTAATCATGATAGATGAATGATACTTACATGTAATCATATTAATAAATAATATTGCATAATTAATTTGCAATGTATAGAACGTATATCATTACATGATATAGGTATTAATAAAAAGGCTTTTTGTGTGAATGTACTAATACAAACAGCTTATTCTTAATTTGCAAAAGCGAATGCATGAGTGCTTAAAACATATTAGTCCGTGATATTATTCTTCGAAATTTTTTATGTAAATAAGAAATATTTAAAACTTCAATATTCTCTAATGTAGCCTGTAAATTGTTATAATTTTCTCTAAGTAATACTTAAATCTGAAAACCTTTTCATCAAAATTATATATCTACATACGTATTTAATATCGAGAATTTAAACTTAAACTCACGCACATTTTATAAATACAAAAAAAACCCAAAACAAATTCCAATCCGTTAATAAAATCACGACTGGTATGTATTGAGCAAAAAAGTGTCTATATGATTAATAATTATTGTCAATTACTTCTTTCAAAATCAATAATATTACAGATCATCTAAAAATCGTACTAACCATAATATTAAAAAACTCTTTACTTACAATATCATTATTAAAATTATTAAACGTCATATATTAAATTTATATTAAAAATATTACATTAGACAATAATATTAATCGTATGATAGTTTTACGAAAGAGAAAAAGAAAGATAAAAGGAAAAGGAACAGGAATTCTGTGACTCGCAGCATGCAAGAGAAAGTAAAAAGAAAAAATAACAAACATTCGACATACAATATAAATTATGCATTTTTTGAATAAATCCTACATTAGATCGGTAACATCAGTCGATTCTTCATATGTTCCAGGAAGAACGACTATCTACATCTAAAGAGACGAACGATAGTATTTCGATCCTGCAAGGAGATAAAGATACGAAGACCACGGCCTCATGGCGCAAGAATAATGCCGAGGTAATTAGTTCCGAAACAAATAATCGCGCCGTGAATTCGTGTGTTCCCGTTGATCAGAAAGTCAAAAGCGAGAAAGACACGCCTGATAAAATGGCACAGAAGGGTCGCCAACACACGGACGAAATTCTGGAGAATCAGAGAAAAAACAATAAGAATGAGATTAATGCCAAGCTCAACAATCAGGAGCAAAGTATCGAAGCTGAACACAAAGACGATATAGAGCAAAAAGTTCGCAAGATCAACTTGAAAGCATACGGTTTCGAGAACGAGTTTTCGGATAAGAAGAAGTCTCAACAAATCCGGCAACAAAGAATGGTGAATAGATTGGACCTGAGTTCCTTCGGCTATCAAGACGGCCTGCGTCGCGCCCACTCCAACAATCAATTGGACCAGCCATTACGGAACAACGATAAATCAAACTTGACTAAACGTAGATATAAAGGATCCTTGATTGACACACCAAGATCATTCAGCTGCAAGGATTTCGCAAAGAGCTTAAGAGGACTCAACGAACTACGGGATGAAGTCGAGGAGGTAAATTCGCAGCTAACATCCGCCAAATCGATGCCAAATGTCGCTGAAGACGTATATTATCACGCGAATCCGGCTTACGTGAACGACGTGCAGAATGAACTGACCACCAACGATCTACTAGATCTTATGAAGAAACGCGATGCGATCGTTGAGGATGACATTTTGCTGCTAAACGATTACGATGAAATCTCATCCGACGTCGAGAGATCTTTTGAGGATATATATATTATGACCAAGGCACAGCCTCGGGAGACGAATGAAGAATTGCGGGTGATGCCCTCAGTGAAAAGACTCGCGGAAGTGTTCGGCAGGCAACAGACTTCCGAAAAGACTGCCGTGCCCGCGAAAGTATACAGAGCTTCGGTAACTAACGAAATACTCACTTCATTTCAGTTAGATTTCAGTTTAATCTCAGATTGATATCTCGAATTTTGGTTCATTTATTCAGAGCAAGAACGATATGCATCAATAATTCGTAAAAGACGTATATAGACAAATAACTAGACAGATTTATTTAGAAACAGAAAAATGAGTAGTAAATGTGTCTACAAGTAAAACATTTAACAGAATTTTCAAAATTGGAATAAATACAAATTCAGATGAAAAAATTTATAAACTATATTCTGCAGGCTTCACTTTTGATCTGAATGTTTAATTTATTGTATAAATTTATGGATCACTAACTAAACTAAATTGCAGTACAATTCCAAAAGTTATGACGTCATATATTTGACAAATTAATAATATTAATTTGAATAATATATTCGTAATAATGTATTCGTAAAATACTCTCAAATATTTATCAATATTTTTATATTTTTAACTTCAGAAGCTATAGAATCAATGCAAAGAATTTTTTTAACAGGCATCATACATCAGTAATTTGTATATTGGATCAAATTGATTTTCTGTCTCGCAGGTGGCGAAAGTAGATGATACCAATAGATCGGCCACTCCTGAGATACAGATAATTAAAACGCCCAAGCAGATGCACAGTTTGACAGCCAGATCTCTTTCGAAGGAATTTCGTGAAGGTTTACGTCAAATGCCCGGAAAACTGACATCGCCACCGGTCAGTCGATCATTAATAGAAGAGCGATCGGCAAATCGAACAGAAGTCATTCGATCGAAACAAGAGAGCAACGATACCACCGTGATCTCACCCGGCAAACTTAAATCGAACATAATATTTTGGGAGCAAATACAGAAAAGAAGTTAAATAGTATTTTTCCGCAAATTTTTAATAATCCTTGCAGTATTCTGATATTTATAAGACAGTATGGAAAATTACGGTCGCGAAATCAATTTTGTATATACGTATATAAAAAACAGAGATTGAAAATTGCGCAATCGAAAATATATCGTTAAAAAAAACGACTATTTAATATGAACTTATACGATAAAATCAAGTCAAGACAGTAATTCGAAGAAATATATAACTAACAATAAGTAGTGTAAATATAATAATAATTATTATGGGGTTCAATGGCAAATAGCAGTTATTAGAAATTATTATAGAATTACGGCGACAAAGATTACTTCCAGTCAAGATGGGATTTATCGTCGATTTTAAAATTTATCGTGTTCAATTTTGTATATTTGTAAATGATTTTTATGTATGTAGGATTTTGCTCAGTTTCAAACCGAGTAGAAACATGAAAACTATGCAAATTTTACGTAAAGTCAAGTTGAATGTCACACTTTAGAAACGGCATTTACAAGAAAAGATTAATTGCTACTTAATTAAGATTTAAGTAATTTGCATTCATAGAGTTGTCAGCGTTGCTATCCTTGCGAATGACAAGGATATGTTAATGTTTGCATTAAAAGATAGTTCCTTAGGTCGGCCACACACGTTTAAGTAAACTTGTATAAGTATACTTGTACAAGCTACTTATGCAAATTTACTTGAACGTGTGTGGCCGGCCTTAGCGTAAATTGATTTTGAGACGTTGTACGTTAACTTGATAGGATAAATATTTCGCTGTAAAAAGGCGATAACAGGAAGATAGCTTTACATAGAAGTGTAATGAAATTTGTGCCAAATGGCATCGCGACATGATATGTTGATAGAGCCAAAGAAAGCATTCGAACATCATATGTTCGAGATAAAAGACCAGGTTAACCCTTTCGCCGTGATTTATATTATACACATATTAGGAGTGTCTTTAATTCTAAAAAATTATTGAAAAAAATAAAAACGAGTTTTCTAAAAATATGTATATATTAACTATTTTGCAAAATTGAAATGAATATAGTTATTACAATCACGTTGTGCTACACAGAGCCGAAAAGAGTTAACCCAGCGCGTTGCCATTCGAGAGAAATAATTATTTCATAACGTAGATAATTTAAGATTTTGCGAGCGTTTTGTATATTGTTACAAATACAAAGATATATTCATATTATTAAATAAATTAATTATCAAGGAAGAAAGAATTTATTCTTGATTATTTTACCTATAACTGGCATGATAAAAGTAACGATTTCGAATTGAATCGTTTTTTTGAAACTTACTGATAAAGTTCCGGCAATTTAATTCATGCGCGTAAGTAATAAATAAAAACATTAATGAATTTATTAGCAAATAATACTAATTCATAATCAACTTCGTGTAATCAATCAAATATGAAATGTGTACTTACTCTACACGATTGACCAAACCTCATGGACATCCTGGGGACGTCCTGTGGATATCATATGGACATTCCGGGGACGTCTTGTGGATATCATATGGACATTCCAGGGACGTCCTGTGGACATCATATGGACATCCTGCGGATTCACCCATATACATATTATTAATATACATATTATTAATAAATCGTCAAATAAGATATTACTTAAAGCACTCGATTGAATAATTTGTGTATTATCTTGTGCTATTAATTTGAAAACAGTGAATAATTATACTCTAATTTAAAGTAATTCAATACTGATTTGTTCGAATATGAGTATTTAAATATTTTAAATAAGCAATTATAATTATATCAGAAAGAAGAAATAACTCAAAAAGTTATTTTTTACTTTATTTTAGACTTAAAAAGTCTCGTTATAACTCTTTGATTTAATCTTAAATGTATGAATTATGCGAGACATCTGTTTTAACAGTTAGTTGTGCATTGATTATTGTGAAGATTAAGTGGTAGAGTGAAATGTTAATCGTTACACATTCACAATAAATCATTAATTAAGTTTTAAATACAAAACTGACTAGTCATAGTTAGACCTTTCAATAAGATTTTGAACACAAGTCGTAGTTTTATATATATGCAAGATAGTAGTTTTAACAAAAATCTGCAAGAGAGAAGGACATATGTACATACACTAACCAAAAAAAGACTCTTAAAAATTTATTTGTAAAAAATATATTTACTTCACCAAAATAAATCTATATTTAAATAGAGCAAAATAAAATTTGATTCTTTTAATAGATAAGAGAGCTACCTATATTGTTTGTAATTAATAAAATATATTTTACAGAAATGTATATTTCGTCATCACAATAACATTTTTTCATACCTAATAAATATCAAAGAAAACAAAATATCATAAATTTTATTTGCTTCACAATATTTTACATTTTTCTCTCAGTGTACATTCATTATTTCTTTCTCTTTTTTATTTTATCTTTTCTTATCTATTTCTCTCTTTCAAGAATCGTTAAAACACGGACCAATTAAAAGTGTCTTTTTTATGTCCAGACTCTTATTAGAAAATCTCTAGTCACAATCGAATGTAACAAGAATGACTACAACTAGTCAATTCTTATGGCTTAGGACTTAAGCTTAGGTAATAGTTTATTGTAGAAGTTAGTTATTCGTAGGAAACGATCGCATTTTTTTCTCGTATTTGTCGCGAATATATTTCGAGGAAGAATAAGATACACAGACTACGTAGAGCGACATGTGCCACGTGCTATCGATCCATTTGTCGTGCAAATGATAACGCATCGACCTTGTGTACAAGCAATAGTCTATTGACCGAGTGTTGCAAAAAGTACCTGAGCTCCATTGCAATTCTAGGAAATGACGTGGTAATCTATAAACAATGAAAACGATCTATCCTCATTATAACTTATTGTTAGCATGCATTTGTACGATAACAGCGCGTGTCTTCGAGCGCATTGCTTATCATAACGATAATTTTCTGCAAATATGTCTCATACTAATTTACATTTATTAATCACAATTAATTAATTCTCGCAATCCGTAATCTCATCAACCATTTTCGAGCTGATTTATCAAATGTCAATTAAATATTGTATTACGCGTAATTTAAAATAGAAATAAGTAGAATATAAGAGAAGAAAACGGAATATTATAAATTCGATATACACGAGTGGCAACATATTTTTTAAAAATAAATGACAAAGGACCAATTATCCCATCTTCAGATAAACTATGTAGTAATTTACTTACTAGATAAACAAAAGAGTAAAAGAATAAGAGAGCAAGTAAGACAGTGACCTGAAGTTTACCAAAGATGGAACAACCTAGCCTAAATTCGGAATATCTTCCATCACGTTTTAAAATTTTTGTCCCTTAAAATTATATTACTTTAAAGTGCGGAATAACGTAAATTATAGAACAAAGGAACAACGTTAACTAATATCTGCCTTTCCAAAATTGATTTGAACTCATTCTACATAAAATGCAGAACGCAAGTCGCAGGTCGCAATATTCCGATTGTAGATCTAAATTGGGTGAACTTCAATTTTCGCGTTCTACGTCGATCAATCAATCACGAACAATTGTTTTCATGTGATGTATGTACATACATATAACATATCTTTAAAAAATTAAATTAAAAAAAAATTTTTTTTTTAAATTAAAAAAAATTTTTAATAATTAATTAAAAATTAAATTAATTTGAGAGTTAATTTATAAAGAAAGAATCCTATAATAATAATTTACGTTTCCTTGTTTTCGTTTTGTATATTTTTTTGCTTACAATTCTTTCTGTCAGATTGAATGACAAATTGTTCGCTGCAAATCTATATAAACTACATAAACGAAAAAATTTTACGATCTGCGTTCTGCGTCCTGTGTTTTACGTTCATTGTCTTGCATCGTATTAGAATGAGCTTTATGTGTACAAAATTGCGCGTGTTATGTATTATTTAATTTTCATTTTCAGGCAGTTTAAATGCACAATTAAATTTACGCACTATTTAATTAATCTCGTGGTATGAGGTGAGTTGTTCAGATGAAATGCATAATTAAAGGTTGTTTTAATTAAAAGTTAATCCTCATATGTTTCGGTCGTTAGCTAAACGTTGCCGATACCAAACGAACTGTCACCGAGTCGCAACGCATTTAATTAGAGAATATAGTGATAATAATAAAGCATCCTATTTTAACATGTTTATTATTTGCCAACTGCATAGTATAATAAATTCGATAATTGTTTATGTGCTGATAAAACACTATACTACTGTAAGCGCACTTGTGCTAATTTACAAGACATTGCGGATGAATATTTTCTTCTTTCTCGGTTTCACGATAAAATGTGTATAAATATTGGAAATGTCGTACGAACTGCCGCGGGATCGTAACATTTTACTATTTAACACAAAATCATAATTAATACAATTTCGCAAATAAGTGTTGTGTGTCATGAAGAAGCAATAACGAAAGATAAAACCAGAGAATGAGGAAAGTGTGAGATGCGTAAGTTATCAGGAGATGACAGAGCAACAAAGTAAATGTAATATTTTATTTTACTTATTATTTGTTGCGAAATTGATTATTTATCGCTATGACGGATGGTAAATGATAGATCGATATATACGTGTCAGCAAAGTTGTCAGTAGTTCATAAATTGAAATAATCTATACATTTAATTTCAAAATTCAGAATTGAAATTTATTCATAATGTTATTGTATCGCCTAATATTATATAATATATATATTATTTGAAAAAAATTAGAAGAAATACATAAAAATATATAAAATATATACATTATAATATTTTGTATATACAATATTATATATAATAAATTTATATATGTATATAAATATGTAATATATGTATATAAAAACACACAAAAATATAAAATTATTATTTAAGAATTATTTAAAATTTTACGTGAATTATAGATTGTCTAGCGGATTTAAAAGCATGAAATTTATGCTGATTACCTTTGATTGTTTGTAACTCAAAAATAATCGAGATTTCGATATTTTCATAATAAAATTTTCGATTTTAATTATAATGCTTTCAGAAAATAGAAGATATTTTATACTTAAATTAAAAATAAATTGTGACAAAACGACATGCAAGGACCTAACAGAGATGTGAGTAAAAAAAT